TGATTCCATACAAATTTAGTATTGTTTATCCTAGCTCTGTGAAGAATGCCGGTGTTATTTTTATAAAGATTGCATTGAATGTGTAGATTGCTTTGGGTAGTATCGACATTTTAACAATATTTGTTCTTCCAATCCATGAACATGGAGTGTTTTTCCATTTCTTTGTGTCTTCTTTAATTTCTTTTATAAGCTTTCAATAGTTTTCTTTTCTCTGTCTCTTTAACAAATGATTTTTTTAAGTTTATTTGTCTATTAGTTCAGAGAGAGAGTGAGAGAGAGCATGCACAATCAGGGAAAGGGCAGAGAGAGAGGGAGATACAGAATCCAAAGCAGGCTTCAGACTCTGTGCTGTCAGCACAGAGCCCAGTGTGGGACTCAAACACACCAACAGCGAGATCTTGACCTGAGCCGAAGTCAGACGCTCAACTGACTGAGCCAGCCAGGCATTCTATTTTCTCTCTCTCTCTTAAGTCTGTCTCTTATTTGCCAGAAGACAGTTTATGAGTACATGAATTTAGGGAACACTGGCAGAATCCCAGCACTTTTTTCCAGCCTTATAATTGTATCTAGCTTGTATTTAAAGACATAGCTTATGCATTTTAATGAGGATAAGTACATTTTGAAACAGTGTTTTACACAAACACAAAAACATTTCAAATCCAAATATTCCTAACAAAAATATATCTCACACAGTGATTATGGAGCAGAATTTCCATCACCTGGAGAAAGAATTTCAGTTCACTGCACTCCTCACTCTATCTTTCAACTTTCAGCAGTTTTCAGTGTATAGCTCTTTTACCGCCTTGGTTAAGTTTATTCCTAGGTATTTTATGGTTTTCGGTGCAGTCGTAGAGGGGATTGATTCCTTGATTTCTCTTTCTGCTGCTCCTTTACGGTTGTATAGAAATGTGACAGATTTCTATATGTTGATTTTATATTGTACGACTTTGCTGAATTTATGTATCAGTTCTAGCAGTATTTTGGTGGAATCTCTCAGGTTTTCCATGTCGTCTGTGAAGAGTGAAAGTTTAGCTTCCTCCTTGCCAATTTGAATGCCTTTTATTTCCTTTTGTTGTCTGATGGCTCAGGCTAGGCCTTCCAGCGCTGTGTAAAACAGCAGTGGTGAGAGGGGACGTCCCTGTCGTGTCCTGGTCTCAGGGGGAAGCTCTCAGTTGTTCCCTCTTGAGGATGACTTTAGCTGTGGGTCTTTCATATACCGCCTTTGTGATGCTGAGGTATGTTCCTTGAGGGTTTTCATCAAGAAAGCGTGCTGTGTTTTGTCAAATGCTTTTTCTGCTTCTGTTGAACAGATCATGCGGTTCTTATCCTTTCTTTTGCTAATGTGATGTATCATGTCGATCGATATGTAGATATTGAACCACTCCTGCCCAAGAATATATCCTACTTGATCATGGTGAATAATTCATTAAATGATGTATTGTTAGATTCGGTTTGCTAGTAACTCCTGTTTCGTTTTGCTTTGTTTTGTTTTGTTTTTAATGTGGCTACTAGAAAACTTAAAGTTACAGGGGTGCCTCAGTGGCTCAGTCAGTTGGGCGTCCGATTCTTGATCATAGCTCAGTTCTTGATCTCAGGGTTGTGTGTTAAAGCATCTCATTCGGCTCTACACTAGGTATGGAGCCTACTTAAAAATAAAAAATGAATAAAAATAATGAAATACACATACAGTTTATATTTTATTTCTAGTGGACAGTGCTGATACGTTATATCTCACTGTGGAGGGGCTCAAGGCTTCTCTGGAAAGGAACTTACAGCTACTCTTGCACTGTACATTACATAAGGTTGAGGGAACACACTCAATATCACAGACCTTGGGGGGATTCTTACTTTTTGTGATAAAACATACATAACACAAAATTTACCATTTTAGCCATTTTTAAGTTCATAGTTGTGGTATTGAGTATATTCATATTGTTGTACAACTATCACCATCATCTTCCCAACTGAAGAACTTTTACATCTTCCACACTAACATTCTTTACCCATTAAACACCTACCTCCCCATACCCTCTTTCACCCAGCCCCTGGCAACCACCATAGTACTTTCTGCCTCTATGAACTTGACTAGTCTAGGCAATATGATTGTGGGGTAAGACGATATTTGTCCTTCTGTGATTGACTTACTTTACTTAGCAGAATGTATTCAAGCTTCATCCATGTTGTAGCATATGTCAGAGTCTCCTTCCTCTTTAAGGCTGAGAAATACTCCCTTGTATGTGTGCCCATTTTGTTTATCTCTTCATCTATCGAGGGACACTTAGTTGTTTCTACCTTCTGGCTGCTGTGAATAATGCTGTCATGAACATAAGTGTACAAACATAAGTGCGTTCACTGCTTTGGGGCATATTCCAGAAGTGGAGTTGCCAGGTTATATGGTAATTCTAAGAAATTGTTTGAGGAATCCCTCTACCCTCTTTTACAGCAACTGCCTATTTTACATTCCCACTAGTGTGTAAGGATCCCAGTTTCTCCACATCCTCATAAGCAGTTGTGATGTTCTCTTTTGTGTTTTGTTTTGTTTTTATAATAGCCAGCCTAATGGATTTGCAGTGGTATCTAATTGCAGTTTTGATTGGCAGTTTCCTAATTAGTGATGTTGAGCATCTTTTCATGCTCTTGTTGGTGTCTGTTTATCTTCTTTAGAGAAATATCTATTCAGGTCCTTTGCCTTTTGTTTAAACAGATCATTTTTGTTGTCTAATTGTGAGGGTTTTTTTATATATTCTTGAATCAATCGTTTATCAGGTATATGATTGGCAAAATTTTCCTCCATTCTTTCAGTTGCCTTTTCACTTTTGATAGTGTTCTTTGATGCATAAAACCTCTTAATTTTGATGTAGTCCAATTTATTTTTTCTTTTGGTGACTATGCTTTGGCATCAGATCCAAGAAATCATTGCCAAATACAATGTTTTTTCCCCTATGTTTTCCCTATTTTTCCCTATGTTTTTTTTTTTTCCTGAGAGTTTTATGTTTTACCTCGTATGTTTAGGTCTTTGATCTACTTTAAGTTAATTTTTGCCTATGCTGTAAAGTAAGGGTCCAACTTAATCCTTTCACGTACGGATATCCAGTTGGTATTACCAACATCATTTGTTGAAAAGACGATTCCTTCCTCACTGAATGTTTTTGGCACCCTTGTGGGAAATCATTTGACCATACAAGCATTTATTTCTAGGATCCCGAGTCTACTCCATTGATCTGTATATCTGTCTGTATGCTTGTACTATATTACTTTGGTTACCATAAATTTGAAGTAACTTTTTAAACCAGAAGGTATGAGACACCCCCCACCTTTGTTCTTTTTCAAGAATGCTTTGACTGTTTGAGGGTCCCTTGAGATTTCATATGAAGTTTAAGATGGGTTTTTTTATTAAAATTTTCAGCACTGTTTTTGGTGTCCAAGTCTTTTGTCTCCTTGGTTAAGTTTATTCCTAAGTATTTTATTCTTTTTGATGCTATTGTAAGTGGAATTGTTTTCTTAATTTCCTGTCCAGATTCTTCATTGTTAGTTTATAAAAAGTATATAGTATATATGATTTTTGTGTATTGATTCTTTATCCTTCAATTTTGCTCAATTTTGCTGAATTTGTTTATTAGTTCTAACAGTGTTTTGTGGAGTCTTTAATGTTTTCTGCATATAATATTATATCACCTGTGAACACAGATAATTTTACTTTTTTTTCCCCTCCATTTTGAATGCCTTTTATTGCCTTTTCTTGTCTAAGAGCTCTGGCTAGCACTTCCAGTACTGTGTTGAATCAAATGGTGAAAGCTGGCTTCCTTGTCCTGCCCTGGGGGTATTCTTGAAGGAGACTGTCTGGGAGTGCCTGCCTGTGGCGCTGCACCCCTGTCTCCTCCCTGCCACCCACCGTCTCCTCCCCGCCACCCACCGCCTCCTCCCCGCCACCCACCGCCTCCGACCGGCCACCCACCGCCTCCTCCCCGCCGCCCACCGCCTCCGACCGGCCACCCACCGCCTCCTCCCCGCCGCCCACCGTCTCCGACCCGCCACCCACCATCTCCTCCCTGCCACCAGAGTAGGACCACTTAAATATATGTAACCCTACTTCCCAGAAGTGTAGTTCCCAAAATCTGAGTTATTTAGAGTAGAATAATGCTCCAGCCAGTGAAGGTCTTTGGAAGGCTGGTTAATAGTAAACCATGGCACCAAAAACTTTAAAGCGTTTTCACCTACCATGTCTTTGCCCCCATGCACTCCAGCGTGGGGACTCCCTTGGCCGATTCTCAACCAGTGAATTGCAGGCCTCCTTTTCCATTTTTTTCACTGTCCAGCCAATGATTATTGAAACACACACACACACACATATTTTTCACAAGCAGAATTAATTTTTTGAAACAGGTGAAACTAGAGGACATAAACTCAAGTGCCGAGTTGCAATCAGAAATAAATGAAATAGGAAAGTTAAAAAAATAGGGAATGATAAGGATTATGGGCAGGTGTTTGTAGCCATGTGTGAATACGAGTTCAGAGTTGACAAATCTTACACATTTTCCAGAGAAGGTGGAAATCAAGATTTTTATATAAATTACATGGATTTTTAGCATACTTCAGACTTATCATGACAGCCAATTTTTAAACTTTTGGTCTAAAGGAAAAAAGAAATATACACTATTGTCTTCACTGCCCCATACTTTGTGAGGCTGATTCTTCCACCAGTGAATTAACTCTTCACATTCCAGAAAATACTAAAGAATTCCTCCACAGGAGGCTTTGGGAGGTGGGAACATGTATGCAGGCCTGCCAGGCCTGGATAAGGTTCTGGAATTACCACATATAAACATATTAAAATTCTTAGCTAAGGGCCTTTTTTTAAAAAATTTGTTTCTAAGTAAGTAGACTTTTAAAATATGAAAACATCACTATATAATAAATCACTGGTTTGAGGCTATTTTCTGTGTTGAGATTTTTAAAACTTATTCCCTAATTCAGTTACCTACTTTTTGTTTTAAATACAGAGCTTTTGAAGAGAAACGAAAAGAACAAGAAGAAAGAGAACAACAAATCAGAGAACAGATACTTCAACAAAGAAAAGAAAAGTTTGAAGAAGTCACTGAAAAATTCCAACGTGCCCATATTCCTCTTTCACAACGGAGGAGAGCAGGTATCTTAATCTCTAGAACGATCTGAGAGCAAAACTGAAAGTTATATCATATTCAACTTGAGTAGACAGTAAAATGATAAGTTAAGAAAGAAAGTATAGGGTCGCCTGAGTGGCTCAGTCGGTTGAGCGTCTAACTTCAGCTCAGGTCATGATCTCAAAGCTCATGAGTTCAAGCCCTGCACCAGGCTCTGTGCTGACAGTTCAGAGCCTAGGGCCTGCTTCAGATTCTGTCTTTCCCTCTCTGTCCCTCCCCTGCCCGCCCTGTTTCTCTCTCTCCCTCCCTCAAAAATAATTAATTAATTAAAAAAGAAAATTTTAAAAAGTATAAATTCAAACCAAAAAAAAATGTCTTTTGAGTAATAAGACTTTAACCAAGTGAGAAATTGTAACTCAATTTAGGTTTACTTGTAGAATGTGTTTTGTTGGCTCTATTAGTAAATTTTGAAAGCTCGCAGGTTTGATTCTACTTCATCCTGGCTCACAATGTTTTGTCTCGTTAAAACTGATTGAGTAAAAAGAAAATTTAACATTTAGGTTCAGTAAATTAGTGTCACATTCATTCTGGCATTTTATTCACATTTTGGTTCAAATTCCTGTTTGAGAGACTGACATTTAAATAAAATAAAGTGTTCAAAGTGACACAGTACAACAATCTGAGACCTGGAATCTATTAAGAATTTAAATTATGGTTGATTCTTTGGTATCACATCTACATTTTTTATACCTTAAATAGAAACACAGAGTTAAGATAAAATGTCAGAGCTTCAAAAAGAAAAGTACAGGCAGAACCTTTATGTTCAACAAGCATATGTTGTACTATATTGTATTTAGCCCTGGGCTGAGATAAGAGAAAATTCTAACCCTACTCCACTGTTAAAGATCTCACGGCTGATTTTGGAGATGAGAATAATGTAAACAATGTCAGTAAATACACTGATGATTGCTGTGGTAACAGAATGTGTGAAGCTCTGTGTGAACACAGAAGGAAGAAAATCAAACCTGCACAGGAACATCAAGACATCATCCTTGGAGAAATGGAGAAAATGGCTTATTAAACGATTTGTGTGTGTGTGTGTGTGTGTGTGTGAGAGAGAGAGAGAGAGAGAGTGTGAGCAAGGGAGGGTCAGAGAGAGAGGTAGATACAGAATCTGAAACAGGCTCCAGGCTCTAAGCTAGCTGTCAGCACAGAGCCCAACGCGGGGCTCAAACCCATGAACTGTGAGATCATGACCCGAGCTGAAGTTGGATGCTTAACCAACTGAGCCACCCAGGCACCCTGAGAAATGGGTTAATTTGAATCTTAAAGAATAAGCATTTTGCCACACCTAAGAGAAAAAAAATGTTTTAATCCCCAACAGAAGGAAAAGCTTTTGCAAATAAATTACGAAGCATAGGTTGGGGGAAAAGTGAAGAAAAATGAATGTAAGTCTAGAAAAATTAAGTTTGAACCAGGACCCAAAGAGCTTTGCATATCATGCTGGGAATTTTGTCTTTCTCCAAAATGCAATCCACTTAAAGATTTTTAATTGAAAGTCAAGCCATTACTGTGTCTGTCATGGTAAGGGCAGCTTGTAATACCACTAAAACTAACAACAGCTTGAATATGATGGGGTTTATTTTTCCCTCGGATAATATGAAGCTCTGAGGTAGGCAGTCAGAGCTGGTTTGGGGACCATGCAGTGTCACTGGGAACTCCAATGCCTGTGTCTCTCAGCTCAACCATCCTTAGCTTGTGGTTTATATCTCCACCCTCACAGTCACATTGTACCTGCCGAAGCTCCAGCCATCATGCCATGCTGTAGGCACAAAGAAGGCAAAATTGTAAAGGACAAAATTTCCTTTTGAATTATTTTCCTAGAAATATCCATTTACCTGCTTAGTGTAATTTGTACTTGGCAACTTCATGTGCTGTATTGCTACTCCTAACTATTAATGTAGGATCTGTTGCAAAGGAAGAAAGGGAAAATGGATATTGAGTGGGAAATTTGGGTCTCTACTATAATGAGATTTGTTTGTTAGAAAGATAATTACATTTACAACATGGAAGTTGGGTTGGAGTAGACACTGAAGTAGATAGACTGGTATGAGACTATTTCAGTATTTGTGGCAAGAGGGGTTCAGCTGCTAAATTAAAGCACTCTACTGGATGTGGAGGTAAGTGGTAATATATTCAGGAGAGGCAATGAATAGGTTTCAGTTGCTAATTGACGGAGAGTGCCGAGGGTCCAGGTGGAGAGCAGTGCTCTAGGATTCTACAGAGAGCCTCACACATTTTTAGACATTTTTGCAGAATTAGTGATTTTGGTAGATGATGATAATACTAATTAGGGTTATGGATAAAGGAGGAGAATCAGATTACAAGTGTAAATGATCATTAAGTTTTAAATGTATTGCTGTTGAGCCTCCTATGGCTTATCCAAATGGAGAAATCAAATCAGCAACTAGAAATATGGATTTGAAACTTAAGAAAAAGATGGAGCAGAGATGTATATATTTAAGAGTCGCTAATGAATGTATATATAGTTGATAAATGAAGCCGTGGGAAAGATAAGCTAAACAGGATATAGATCATAGATTGAGGGTAGGGCTTAAAATAGAATCTTAATACACCCTAGTATTTACTGTAGGAGAGCCAGAAAAACTAAAAATGGATTTTTTTAAATGTCTTATTTATTTTTAGGAGAGAGAGAGAGAGAGACAGCGTGAGCAGGGGAGGGTCAGAGAGAGAGGGAGTCACAGACTCTGAAACAGGCTCCAGGCTCTGAGCTGGCAGTCAGCACAGAGCCCTACGTGGGGCTTGAACCCACGAACCGCGAGATCATGACCTAAGCGAAAGTCGGACGCTTAACCGACTAAGCCACCCAGGCGCCCCTAAAAATGGATTTTGAGAAGTAAGCAAAAGCAAACAAACAAAAAAAAGTGTAAAAGAAGGCAAAAGAGGGGCTCCTGGGTGGCTCACTCAGTTAAGCATCCTACTCTTGATCTCAGGGTTGTGAGTTCAAGCCCTTTGTTCATGCCCAGCATAAAGCGTACTAAAAAAAAAAAAAAAAAAAAAAGGCAGTAAAAGAGAAGGTAGTTTTAAGAAGGAGAATGTGGTCAGTTATGTTAAATGCCTCAGAGAAGTAGTCACCACTCATGAGAATTATTTGCCCCAAAGAGGGTGCTGACTACCAAATAGTCTAGATACAAAGAGTCAGAGTTTTAGCAAAAACAAATGACACATTTATACAATGGAATATTCTGCAACTGTTAGAAAAATAGTGGAGAAACTCTTTGTGGACTGATACGGAAAGTTCTCCAGCAGAAGGAGATTTACTATGAGGCTAAGGAGGCTTGGGTTTCAGGGCCTCACTGTCACAGCCCCATACCCAATTTCATGTTAGTAATATTGCATTGTTTTTCTTAAGTCTCCCAAATTGCCCTTATACTCTCACAAGACTAGCATCTATCCCTGATTTTCAGGATAGATTGTTAATCATAAAAATCATATGATTGTTAATCATAAAAAGAAGGTCCAGATCAGGATATATTATTCTCCCTTCTGGTAGGAAGAAGGGAAAATTATATATATGTAAAACCTTGATTTGTGAGCATAATTTGTTCCAGACATATGCTGGTAATCCAGAGCACTCATATATTGAAGTGAATTTCAAGAACCATTGGCTCAGTTGTGATCATGTGATGTTTGGCATTGAGGAAGCGCACTTGTTGGGATGAGCACTGGGTGTTGTATGCAAGCCAATTTGACAATAAATTATATTCATTAAAAAATAAATACTTAAAGAAGTAAAGAAACAGTGAAAGAATATACAAGTGACCAAGGAGAGCAAGACTTCCAGATGTGTACTGCGTATGTTTTTCACTTCTGAGTATAATATGTTACCTATACAAAATATCAAAGTAATAGTTTAAGAAAGGTCCGTGCTATCAGTGAAGAACGAGAACATAGCTATGAAAGGCTGCTACTTAATTGACTGACTGTTAGTTCAGTTTATTCCCAAACCCTGAAGGTGCAGTGCAGGCTCACCAGGTAAGCACGGTGCTTGGCCCTTCCCCGCGCTCCAAGAAGGGCAGCAGGCTAGGGGTTTGAACAGCGTCAGAGTCGTTGGAGTGAGCGTATTCGGGTAGAAGAACTGGAGGGACTGGAGCTACTGGGCTAAATGGAGGAGTGCCGCTCTCCTGCGCAGTCAGACTCGAAAATACCAGGCTCCGCTATCCCTGCTGCGTGAGCGTGAGGGGGGTAACCAGGAGTCGTTAAATACCAGCAACAAGAGGCAGTGGCGGGTGGTCGTCAAGTGATCTAAGGTAGTTTTCGGTATCTGGAGTATGACTGACATCCGATTTCCTATTCCAGGCATGCATCGTTGTGATTCGATACTTTTATACAGTAGTCAATGATCCTGACAAGAAGTCTGGTTCCATCGGTCACAACACAATAGCATTACAGCATCCCTGTCTCCCTGTGCCTTACATAACACCCTCATGACTGGCTTATTTTATAACAGGAAGTCTGTACCTCTTAATCCCCACCCCCCCCCCCACCTATTTCACCCTTCACCAGCCTCTCAGTGTTTGCCCTCTCTGGTAGTAGTTTTTTTCCTCCCTTTGTGAGTCTCTCTGTTTTGTTCATTTTTTTTTCTGTTTAGATTCCACATATAAGTGACATCATACAGATTTGTCCTCTGACTTATTTCACTTAGCACAATGCCCTCTAGGTCCATCACATTGTCTCAAGTGGCAATATTTCATTCTTTTTTTATGGCTGAATAATATTCCATAATTTATATATACCACATCTTTTTTTCTTTAAATTTTTTAAACATTTATTAATTTTTGAGAGACAGAGCATGAGTGGGGGAGGGGCACAGAGAGGGAAACACAGAATCCAAAGCGGCTCCAGGCTCCTAGCTGTCAGCACAGAGCTGGATGTGGGATTCGAACTCACCAAACTGTGAGCAAACTGCCTCCATTTAAGCAGGTGAGTTTCCATTTCAGAGAGCTAAGTTTCAACTTGACCAGGAAGGTGAAAGGATATTTAGAGAAGTAGGAGAGGTTGAGTATGTTGAGACCAGTGTGCCCAGCAGAAGGCCTATGGGAAGTGGCTGTGGGGTGAGAGGTTGTGCTATATAGCATGTCAACAAACATCCACATAATCTATGACCTCGAACAAGATGTTTACCCTCCCTCTGCTTCAGTTTCCTCCACTACAAAATGGTGATTCAAAGAGCAACTGCCTCATAGGCCACAGTGAGCATTACATTTGTTACAACATGCTTAAAAATAATGTCTTTAACGGTAAGTGCTCAGTAAACATCAGTTGGTGTTTCTATGTGATGGATTCTTTTCTTCATAAGAATATTAATAAATTTTGTCAGAAATTTATGGAGTTATGATACAGTGCAATTTGCATGCCAGGATGAAGAGACTGAACATTTCTCAAAGTTTTTTTTCCAGGTAAATAGTCTTAAAATTGATGATGTGAATTTTGAGGTCACAATTTCTCTTGGGGGAATTGGATGTCTAAATTTAAAATATTTACACTATTGTAAAAAATATTTTCTTTTTTCAAAGTTTTAAAGTAGTGTTTTATTATTGACCAGTTAGAATAGAAGATGAAGTGATTCTGTACTATATGATTTTTTTCTTTATTATGCCCTTAGTTTTTCAGAAACCAGTTCCTCCTTTGGAAGAAGCCCTCAAACAAATTCAGGAATCCAACTTAAAATCAGAAGGAAACCTTCCCTCTTCCCACAGACCAACAATAAATTGGAGGTAAGTAATTTATTATTATGTATAATTATTAATATTTAATAATTTAGCTTTCTATTACTGAGTTTGTAGGCCTTTTCATCAGTTACTCCTCACCCTTGTAGAATTTTGCTATTTTATTTTTACAAATTAAATTTTACAATTTAATTTATTGTTTATTATTTTATTATATTATTTAATTATATTATTTAATTATATTATTGTTTATTATTTATTTTACAAATTAAATTGAAGTAGAGGAGAATATAAATTGCTTCAAGAATAAGGCAAAATTCTATTGTGGCATTACAGTGCTGCCTATGTTGAATAATTTTCTATGGAAACTATCATTCAAAACATTTTAAAATATTGATGTTCATTATTTATCTTTACTGCAAGGAAAAAATATTGTTGAATTGTAGTGATGTAAATTCAGATAAAAGGAGTAACTGTATGGTAGGCATGGGTTTTTCCTCATGGAAAATCTTTCCTGGATGTCTTGAAAAAGCTAATGGCCCCTGGTTCCTCTCCAGGAGCTTAAATGCATTATTTGGAAGCAATAGAGTGGATCAACCAATCACAGAGTGCCCTGTGACATCTTTTATTTCTCCATTTATTTATTCTAAATGTTTATTGAAGCTACAACATGTATAGCACTAGATCAGGCATTGTGAAGGGGATATGGGAAAGAAGAATGTTTTAAAATACAATTCCTGGTGTACAATCTAGGAGAAAAGTGAAATAATGCCTCAAAAAATATAGAATAGTACCCCATGCGTAATGATAATAATATATAATGTTTGTTTATATAAAGACATTTACATTGGAGACATTAATTATGTTAATACTCTGCCTATACATAATGTTATTTACCAAAGTACTTCCTTTACTAATTTACTAATAGTACTTCCTATTTTTAGAATATCTGTGGCCAGTAGTTCCCTTGATCAGAGCTGAGAACAATTCAGTTCATTTTCTCAGGCTTGGTTATAGTTGAAGAAAGACCTCATGGACTAGAAGATTCTTCAGCAGAGCTTTGAGGAGACTGGGGCTTGATTATGAAATGAGCAAGCCTGGTACTTCAGACAGAGAGGGATGAGTGTGTGCGCAGCACAAGCGTGGTGGGCAGAGTGAGGTGCTCTGGGAGGGAGAGGACGCAGAACGCCAGAGCGCAGAGCCCCGCTAGCCTGGCCGGACAGGAGACCGGAGGGGTAAATGCGTCTGTGCGCTAAGGAGTGCACACTTTATCCTGAGAGTTCGAGAGGAGTCAGTGAAGGGTCTTAAGCAGAAGGGTGGTAAGATCAGCTTTTCTCTTTTATCATTTGTTGTTCCAATCTACACATGTGGATAATGGGTTGGAAGAGGACAAAACAGGAGCTATTCTAACATATGTCATTGAAATTATAGGAGTTCAGAGCTGGAGAGAAAGATCTAGGCCTAAGTTGATTGAACACAGCACCGGAGGAGATGCAGCCACCAAGAGGGTGTGCTGTGACGGCAGGTGTAGGGTAGAGCCCTGAAGAACATTTATGGACGTAGAAAACAGGCCCACGAATAGGAACAGAAGATTGATGTAGGACAGGACAGGGTGGGATCATGCAAGCTAAAATAGTGTGGAATTTCCTGGGGGGAAAAAAGCAGTTAGAGATCAAACAGCCTGTAGGGAGTCAGTGACGTGAAAAGTTGTTATCCTGACCCGAAACAGGCAGCACGTAGGAAAGGGGTGACAGAAAAGTGGTGGATAAAGGAAGTGAAAAGCCAACAAAGGATGGTAAAATGTCCCCAGGAATTGAGAACAGTCAGTGTGACCACCGCAGAGCTGAACCCAGAGCTCTGTGGCCCCAGAAGAGGGCTGCTAGACGGCTGGCGGGGGGGGGGGGGGGGTCCCCCGGGGGGTCCCCCACGCCCAGCAGGGGGCGGCCAAGAAGGACAGTCCTCAAGCACCTTTTCCCTCTGTCGTCCCGTCTCTTTCTTGTGCCTCCCATCAGCCAAACTGAGCCATAAGTCAGAAGGCAAAGGATCATTTCGTCTCCACCAAGCAGAGACAGCGGAGAAGTGTGGAAAGTGAATCTGGAGGGGAACAGAGAGAGTGTCCACTATATTTCACAAGAAAGTCACACCAGTGACTCTGTCAGAGTAGTTTCAGTGAAGGGATAGGCCCAGGAAAGAGATCACCATGAGTGGAAAAAAAACGGAGAGTAAGAAAGCAAAAGAGGAAAAGAGAAAGCAAAAGGAAAAGAGTGATAGACGGATACCCAGAAAAAGTGTCGGACCCAGACAGGACCCACACCTGAGGCCATCAGACTGATGAGCAACAGAACTGAGGTCTAGAAAGAGAGGAGGGCAAGCACGTGGAGCATCTTACATACCTACATTCAGTTGGACGAGGGTTGGCACGGCTTACACCACGAGTGAGATGCACTTCTCCTCTCGGGAGAGGTTCGCAGTCACATTAGAACGCACACGTACGTGTGACACTGTAAGTGGGGCTGTTATGGGAATATTAGCAAAGTGGCAACGTACAAATCGTGAAGTTGGAAAGAAGTCCTACAGGACGGGTGCACATGGTCTCGCAAGGAAGCAGAGGCCACGCGTACCGGGCCCGCAGTGTGGCAGGAAGAAGTGGCACTCACTCAGAGACCTGGGACTGTAGGGTGTGCTGCCGGAAAGACAGGAGATGGTCTGGAAATACGGACTGAGACTGAATGTGAAAGGGTTTTATGAGTGTCTAGGAAGCTTAAGGGTTGTTTCATAACTAGTAGAGAAGCCGTGCAGGTGATCAACCAGGGAGTGATCTCATCCGCTTGGTTATTTTAGAAAGATAACTGGCGTGAGTGTTGGAGAATGAAAAGGATGGAGAGGAACTGAAGGCAAAGGCCACAAGACAGAATTAATGGGATGATGCAAAGCAGCGGCCGTCATTGCCTCTGCTGGACGAGCACGGTTTCGTGCAGCGATGAGAGGATAGATCTGTTAAAGGCTATAAATACTTTAACTGATTAGAAGGAAGGGATGAGAGAAGAAGAACTGAAAATGCCTTTTCACAAAACAGAAGTGACATGAGGAAATAAAAGTTTAAGCATGTTGATCAAGTAGATGTATAAAAATTGGAGCACGGAGTGATTAGTGGCAGGAAAATCAGGTGCTTGCCTCGGCAGCACATATAGTGGCAGGAAAATCAGGAGTTTTCCAGCCATGAATTTAAAAGGACTTAGGTTCAAAGAAAGTCAAAAAGAAAGAAGGAAAAGACATTTCATAGATATAGGTTATGGACATTAGATAATGAGTTTGGTATATGATGGAATAAAGAAAATGAACAAAGCAAAAAATCAAAAGAAACTGAAATTTTGAGGGAATTTGGTAACTTTAAAAAGAAACGGAATGAAACAGTACAAGTTTGGTGAGATATTGCTAAATCTCTTTTGATGCTTCTAGGGGCGCCTGGGTGGCTCAGTCAGTTAAGCATCCAAATTCCGCTCAGGTCACGATCTCATGGTTCATGAGTTCAAGCCCCACATCGGACTCTGTGCTGACAGCTCAGAGCCTGGATCCTGCTTCAGATTCTGTGTCTCTCTCTCTCTGCCCTTCACTCACTCACACTCCACCTTTCGAAAATAAACCAACATTTTAAAAAATTATTTTTTTAAATAAACTTCATTTGAGACTTCTGAATTGAGGGGATAATACCCAAGTAGAAACATACAAAAACAATTTGACCTAAAATGAAATGAGGGATCAAGCTATAGAAATACATTTGAAAGTCATGGTTGTGTATGTTGTTGCTTGTTATATGTACTAGTGTCTCCGCAACCGGATGTGACAAAGGCTAGATGTCACAGGTGCGGATGCTGTGCAGGTGGTGTTCCTTCCTGGCCCAGCGCTGTGCATGCTGGAGGCGGTCAGTACATACGTGAACACTGCTCAGGGAGCAGGCGCTTGCCCCGAAGCTTAATCGACGACGAGGATACTCCAGAAAGGCAGACACTGGGAGGGAGGCGCAGACGGGGGACCGCACCGGGCGCGCAAGGGCGGGCGGCGTGTGCGCGGAGAGGAGCTGGGGCGCCGACGCTGGCCGCGAGGGAGGCCGCGAGTTCTCTTCCCGGGCCTGTTAGGGAGTTCGTCCTGAAAAGTCACCGGATCAAACAGTGCAGAGTGTCCTTCGGAAATAGCACCAGAGTGGGCAGGAGGGGGGTAAGCCTAACGGTGGGGAAAGTGTTGAGGAGGTGGACTCGAACCGAAGGGCTCAGGAGGACTGGAGGCCGTGGGGGTTGGTCAGTAACAGGCAGTGAAGCCGCTTATCAGGGGGGCTGCTGGGGAGGAGCGGGTTAAGGGACAGAGCGCGGCGAGAGATGGCAAGCTGTGGAGACACGTGTAGGTTACTGCCGAGCCAGTTTCTCGTGCTGAGCAGCCTGCGCCACAGACACAGATGTGATCACTGTCAGCGAATGGATGCAACTAAAGACGTGGCTCGCGAGTTCAGCCAGACAGACTCCCGCGGCTGCCGGCTTTGGCTTCAGTTAGAGGACGCGACGCACTTCATGGCTTCAGTAGGAGGCGTCCTCAAGGCCGAGCCCAAGCGTCGCCCCTTTCCCCTCAGGGGACGTGTCAGCTGTGAGGAAGCAAGGTGGGGGGGGGGGCACAGACCCCACGTTCCCAGCCGGAACCAGTGTTTCTGGTGATGGCCCGGGGGGCAGTGACGCCCTCGGGGGAGAGAGAGCCCTCGGGGGAGAGAGAGCGTCCGGGTGCAGGAGCTGCGGCGCTCGGTCAGCGAGGCGCTCGGTGAGCGCGAGAGAAGCAACGCGGGTCATGTGACTCCAGGATTCCAGCAAGGTAGAAAAAAGTGACTCTTCACCTCAAGAGGACAGCTTGTAAAAAGTCCCCAAAATGCACACTTCTTCTCATAGTTTAAATGAAAGTTCAGAACTTCACTGGATTTTAGTACATTAGCATTTATAGCGAAACTTTATAAATGAAAAAATTAGAGTTCAGTAGTATCTTTTTCACAGAATTACCTGGAGTAAGGG